GGTCTAGTGGTAGAGCGTCCGCCCGGAGAGCGGAAGGTCCGGGGTTCGATCCCCGGCCGCATCATACCAAAAGACCTTAAAAGATGGTACTTGTTGTTACCCTGTCTGGCGCTCGGCATTAAGGGGCTAAAACAAGGACTGGTCGGCTCGGAGTCAGTATACTGTGTCTGAGTGTTGTATTCATGTTAAACTGCGGCATGGTATCTCAGTGGGCTAGCTCTATAAATCGGCATCAGTCCAGTCTAGTGCATGCACATCGCTATATCAGTGCAATAACCTTGGACGTGACGTTAAACCCAATTTCACCTCACCTCACCTCACCTCACCTCACCTCACCTCACCTCACCTACAGTCAACAGGAACACACTGGACTCTCAGAATCTCAATAGTACAATATACAACAACTAGTTTGATTGTCATTTCCTACTCCTGGTCAAGTCCCATGAAGCAGTTTCAAGGTTGGTTTTGAACAAATCAAAATCAGACATCTGAAAGAACGATAACAGTGTCAGAAATGCTTTCGAAAAGTGTGCAAGAAAAATATATTTTCTTAATATCAATTGGCGGATGAAAGTTCCTTTTAAATACTATTTTTCATGGAAGGACACAGATTGTTCATGTTCACTGCCATTGGTCAAACAGGTTTTGGATGGAGACATATCCTATACCGCATGGAGAGATCACCAAGGACACAGTCCCTGGAGCTGGGATGTCTTGGCAGAACTCTCAGATGACATACAAGAGGAAACAAATCCTTATTTACCAAATTGTTACAATTAAAAGTAGCTTCAATAAAGAATGTATTAGTATCACTAAAATCAAGTATGTCACAGATGATTATTCTCTTACCAAGATAATGTCATATAGCATAAATAAACACAATAATTTCTGGTTATAATATTGCTAATATTTTGTAATTCTACGTAGACGGTAAACTGGAACAGGACATGGTTCGGATCTTATCCTTGATCATTGATCAAACCCGGATGCTAATTTATCATGGTTGCATAGTGATAAGGCATAATGAATGTTTATACATTTACAACTGCTAAAACATTAGTGTCAAATTAGTGCTTAACTGCTCGTCAATACCTGACATACTCTATCATACAGACCCTGAAATAAATATGTCCAATACATCCCATGCATGTCTATATTAATTGGCAAGTCTTGATTACTGTAGTTTCAAATTAAAAAAGACTATTTTTTATTATATTATATAAAGAGTATATTGAGTATAATAATCATCAGGATATCACTAACAAAAACTAAAAGAAAAAAGACAAAATAATAAAGCTTTCCCACCATTCAGCAGAGGTTAAGAATATGACTAGAAGACAAATAGAGAAATAAAACAAAAGAGAAGGGAAGTTAAAAAACAAAATAACTGAAATCATATATAGAAAACAAACTCAAATAAGTAATTGATTTGAAAATTCACACAGCAGAAAATTGAAATGTTCTTAAATGCACACCTCGTCCCAGTCAGGATATCAACCAAGAATTACCTACCTTTAGTCTATGCCGGCCTGATGGGAATTCACTATAAATACAATTGCCCTTAAAGCAGAGTTTATAATATTCTATTATGATCATATCTAATGCATTATTTCATAACGATGTATATATTTTGCATGTTATATATTGATAGTCTGTCGCTGCATGCCAAATTGTATACGACTGACATAATGCAAGCACCTCACAAAAATGCATTGAATCAACAGTGTTAAAAGATACACAATATATGACAAAAATATTCAAAGTTTCTAAGGATTGGATGGAATTAAAATTTAATTTAACAAACTACTTCTGTCATTTTTACTTCCTGTTCAAGCACTAACTTTCGAAAGTGTTTATACCTGTAGCATGATATATGATTAAATCTAATAATGCCAATTTATTCTTTACTTATTATTGTAGATTTAAATATGATAAACATCAACTCTATTCTATAAAAAGAAGAATTACTTCTGAGTATAAGCAAGATTTGCAACAAGGTTAACTTAAGAAACCCCCAGTCTCAACACATCCTCATTTCATATGCTGATGAAGACAAGACAACTTATGGATTCAACCTTCTCAATCTGGTTGTTTCAGTACAGAAACTTGCACCTTTGTTTGAATATTAAAGAATACAAAGAAGTTGAAATCCATAACTCGATTCTGTCTTCACTGATGCTAGAGCTTTTAAATGTTACATAAATATAACAAATGTCAAGATATTGTTCAAAACTGACTTAACAAATCTCAACAGACCTATCTTAAAGAAAGGGAAACACTCATGCAAATGTACAGCATTGTGTTACGACACATACGATACAGGTCAGACACACAATGATATTAAGTACAAATCATTTATAGAATAAAATAAAATTTACATAAAGACATTAAAAAATCCTCAAAAGGACTGCTTCATTTTCTTGTTTCACGGACAAGCTAACACCAGTAAGTGAAAAGAGTAAAAATCAATAAAAAAACTTAATAATGTGTTTAATTAACACACTTTTCTCAACATGAAGGTAATATAAAAACAAATATACCTCAAATCAAGAAGGAAAACATTTTCTATTTTCATTAGTTTGCCTCATTGTCTCTTGCAAGTTGACCAAGAAAATATGTGAAACAAGAAATGAATTTGATCGAGCCTTGGCTATACATTTAAATATACAGTATAGAGGAACACAGTATTAGAAGAAGTAATTATAAAACGAAGTACGAAAAACAACTGATAACATGTCATGGTTGCTCTAACCCCACTCACTCACTCACTCACTCACTCTGCATAAACAAAGGTCAAACATGCACCAGTAAACAAATGTTAAACAACAACAGGAATGATAACTATGCAGCACCATTCTAACTACAGATTAAAATCATAATTCATGTTTTGAAGAAAATAAATATTTCAAAACACGTATTCAGACATGGATATTCAAAATTTAGAAAGATTATTCCAAAGTGCCTGGGAAAAATAAACAGAAATGAGAGTGAATGGGTGCGGGTGAACACCACTGTCAACAGGGCCGTAGGGTAGCCCAGTGGTTAAAGCGTTCACTCATCACACTGTAAACCTGGGAACAATGTGTGAAGCCCATTTCTGGTGGTCCCCTCCGTGATATTGCTGGAATATTGCTTAAAGCGTCATAAAACCAAACTCACTCATTCACTTTAACAGTCTTCCAGTCATAATACACTGGTTCATTTTTGATGTGGGTAAATGCCTCAAGTGACACAGACCGTAGATGTTCACACCTAGGCTGAAACCTGCAAGTACTGGCATCAGCCAATGAATAGTAAGCTTGTGAAACTGGGATTCAAACTGACAACGGCCCGGTTCCATGTCCAAGACAACGGTGCCACCCATGTCCATTTCCAGGAAGAGATGAGGGTAATGCCAGCATGTTGATGAACTTTTGTTTCTCAATATAACCATGTTGATCATATTATTGTTAAAGAGGCACATTGTACTTCTTTAAACTCTCAGGCAATGGTTTTAGAAAATATAGTGCAGGCAGGCAGTGTCTATATTTTTTTTTGGGGGGGGGGGGGGAATGTTTCAAACTAGTATGTAAACAAAAGAACAGTTGTGTTACCAAATAAACAGTTGTGTACTTGTGTACAATCACTCTCGAAAAAGGGCCTTCCTACATAAATGAATTCCTTGATGAGTAAAACAGTGGAATACAGTATTTGACTACTGTTGGATTTGGAATATTTAAGGATTTTTAGGGTTTTTTTAAAAATGGAAATAAAAACGAAACCTGCGGCAGACTTTGTGATGAAGCCTAACAAATCAAAGATGCGTTTATATGAAACAAACATCTTGAGCATAATAGTCCCCCACAGTACCTCACCTCAGTCTGGCAAATCAATCAGCTCTGCTCAATCACACTAGAGGTAATTACATTGTAAACTTGAGGTAAACATGTTTTTCGGATGGACATCAGTATTGCTCATACGAACCTTTAACTTCTTGAACACAGCTAAAATAGTACATTATGTCAAATGAAAACAGTGCTCTGTGGGGCTTTAGTTACAAGCTGAATTTGTCTTATCTACAACCTCCAAATGACATACAGCCAGTTACAAAACAACAGGTACACTGAAATATATTTATCGTTATCAACATGTTTTCAGAGTTACATACAATATGTACCATGCTATAACGCTTTTATAACACACCAAACTGGTTTGCATATCTTTCACATTAAGTGAATATTTATACACATGGTAAACAAATGGTGTACCCAGCTTTAATCAATTCATTAGCAATTCAATGTTTTGCAATAACGTTCTTTTACAGAGCATCACATATGTACGGTGGCCCATACTTCCACTGGTGAGATAAAATATAGAGGTTTACAGGAGAAAATGATCTCACCAGTGGAAGTATCTGGCGGGCGCCAGACAAAATATAGAGGCATACAGTGAAAAATGATCTCACCAGTGGCGGGTATGGGCCACCTTACATATGAAACCAAGGCACATCTTCAGGGGTAACCATGGTAACAACATGATACACAGTGTAGAAGTTCAAGATATCACCCTTGTCCTGTGAGACTACTTGTGATACACAACAAGCCATTATACTTATTACCCTTGGTTTGACACAGCAAAAGCCTTAATTCTCACAATGGTATATTTCAAGTGTATCATGATACGACACATGGATACTGATTATTGCTCATTTCACTTTCAGGAACCTTGTATCGTTACAACTCATTTTAGTTTTTGCATGATAATGACAAGCACTTATCTACAAACAAATATGAATATTTACAATGTGAATATTAGCACTTACTATGCACTACCTTCCCCTTATGCCACACAGGTTTATGATGTTCATATGCATTCATAATCATCATAATAATAATCAGCATGTATACTGTCAATATAAACAGCGTTACTTATAATTTTACAAAAGATAAGGCTACATTATATAAAAATAATCATCTTTTGTCTGTTTGTGTTTAATACTGTTTTCTTTTCAATAATACTTCTCAAAATCAGAATATAGAATCCCAAATCAGCAAAAACAGATTTTGTCGTAATCCTACCTTGAGGATTACTAACAGATTATATCAACTGTCGCCTTTAAATTAACAGGCATCGTGGGATCCTTGATGTTTGATGTTATAGTATTTGCTTTTTAACATTAGGATTGAGACAACGATCCCTCTCAATCTTAATTTTTCCAACACTGATACACAGCATGTATGTCAGTAGCTAAGAACATGAAGAATCAGAGACAATTGGATGTGAGTTGTGGATTTCAACATTGAAATAACAAGCTATACTTTCTGCAACTCTAAAAGTAAAAATAAAATACATATTTACCAAAAATGGCAAATACTTGAAATCCTAAACATGAACATTGGTGGATGTATAAGTGAAAACAAATTTTGACTAACACGGTGGTAAGCAGAAGAGATTCTCTATATCCTTGTTCATATCTGTGTCTGTTCTTTCTCCTGTTGTGCTTGACTGGGACGTTTCACAATCATTTCTACATTGACACGATCAGCTGTTTCTTCTGAGTCATGACAAACAAGCTCGTAGCATGTGTACTGTTCACACGGCAAGCAAAACTTGATGTTGTCAGTTGGATGGCAACACATGTAGTAGAGCAGCTGGAAAACCACATGCAATCCTGCCATGGTCAAAATGGCGATGAAGCCTCCAACATGAAACCATTCTCCGACATGCGAGGAATACAAAAACCAAACTGTCAACATTGCAATATTTTCGGAATAGAACAGAGCGTAATACAACAAATACCTAAACCTTGAATGACCTTCCTTCAGGTTCAAAAAACAAAATATCATTACATAACCACAGATAATGTCAAAGAACTTTTCAAAACAGAGATTATCTTTGTAAAACCTTGTTTTTTGGCACATGAGCCAGACTGATATGATGACCCAGTGCATTCCCACAGGGATGAACACAAACGCTTGGAAGGAAGACGCGAAGAGGCACAAACAAAGAACACGTGTCCCGACCTCGCTGGCCCGCCATATGAAGTAGAAGGGGATGGATCGGATCTCCATGACAGCCTTCTCCTCCCTGGAGAACCTGAGTGAGCGGTGATACGACAACAGCGACACAGCCAGTGACAGCCAGGACGACATCAGAGAGCCCAACCTGAGTGACACTGCAACAAAGAGGGCGGTCGGGTAGCCTAGTGGTTAAAGTGTTCGCACGTCACGCCGAAGACCCCGGTTCAATTCCCGACATGGGTACAATGTGTTAAGCCCATTTCTGGTGTCCCCCGTCGTGATATTGCTGGAATATTGCTCAAAGCGGCGTAAAACCATACTCACTCACTCACTCACTGCAACAAAGAAACAAGATCATCTAAATATCATTCTTAATGCTTTTGTAAGTGCATTTTATTTTTTAGACCACATATGTAATGTGTGATTCAGTGGTTAGTAATTAAAGTATTTTGTAATATCTGTCAAGTTTGTGTCATTTCGTGAATTTACTTATTTGAGCAGTATTTCAGTAATATCAAAGAACGTCAAGTTGTTGTGGGAGGAAAACCCGAAGTGATGCAGGTCTGAGACATTTACCCCTTTAAAGTAAACCCACAACATTGGGTATGGTCCTGACAAACCTATAAACATAATCAGTGTGAATCTGTGATTCAGACACACAAAATCATGGTTTTCTGGCACACCTAAACATGCTAAAGGCTGCAACAGAGTTCAGCAAATTATGCAGCTTAGAAGAAGGGCTGTATAGCCCCCTTGTGTTGGGGGAAGGAATGACGTAGTTATTTACTCAGGTATGAAGCTGACAGCTGTGTAGAGTGAAGGTATGTGTCATGATCATACACTGCACATGATATGAAAATTGCAAAAATAAAATCACAACCATGCATAACAAGAAAACAGCGTTGTCACTATCCCCCGCCATGAGTTTGTTTATTCATATTATAGTGAACATGTACTATTAAAAAAGAGCCCCATAAAGCCTTAAAAAGAGATAAGCACTTGCGCCGCTTTTTGTCATCGGATTAATGTTTAAATGTGAAATTAATGCACACAAAAGGCTGTGTCTCTGGAAAAAACAACTCAGTCTTGATACGTATCTCTTAGATGAACTAACTTCAGTTGTTTCTGAGAAAACTTGTCCAATTGCACAAATAACAAGGATCGAAGGTCGTACCTCTGTAAACAACTAATCATGCTAATTGACGGGACCAATTTTTGAACTCAGTCTTGTCAAGTATCTCTTAGATAAGCATACAAACTTTCATTCTTGTAGCATCAGTAGTTTCTTAGAAAACCCATCCCCACTATGCGCTAAGTTGAAAAACATGGGCAAGGGCCACAACTCTGTAAACAAATAATTGACAGACCAATTTTTGAACTCAGTCTTGTCAAGTATCTCTTAGATAAGCATGCAAACTTTCATTCTTGTAGCATCAGCAGTTTCTAAGAAAACCCATCCCCACTATGCGCTAAGTTGAAAAACATGGGGCAAGGGCCATAACTCCGTAAACAAATAATTGACAGGACCAATTTTTGAACTCAGTCTTGTCAAGTATCTCTTAATAGATAAGCATACAAAGTTCCATTCATGTAAATTCAGTAGTTTCTGAGAAAACTTGTCCCCATTTCATGTACTATGCACTAAGTTGAAAACCACAGAGCAAGGGTCATAATTCTGTAAAAACTTGAATTTTAACGAAATCAATTTTTGAACTCATTAGAGATCATGACCAGAAACATCAGTGTGCAAAATTTCATTTCTCGGACTAAATAGTTTTTGAGAAAATTTGTCCCCTTTGAGAACCGGACGGACGGACAGAAGGATGGAGGGAAAGACTGAATGACGGATGGACGAACTCCGTTCCAATATCCCCCGCACCACTTTGTGGCGGGGGATAATAAATCACTTCCCTTCAAACCTTGTCTTTAACAGTTCCTGAATGTTTTTGATAAAGTTTTTAAATCTTCAGTTTGACATTGAATATTGAGTATTTCAATATTTTCAAGTTATGGGATGCTCAGGTATGGAAGGTTTTCAGTGCCACACAGCTGGTAATTCATGGTATTCTCACTGTTCTTACCGACAAGTACCCCCCAGGATGCCTATCTTCATCCTTATTTTGTGATATTTCAAACTATCTGTACAGTTGCAGTTACAATAACAACTTGTCCAATCATTGTTTAAGATCTGTACTTCTATATGTCACAACTAGGGGCTACGGTTTGTCCAATTAGAAATCTGCCAATATGATTTACAGTGCACTTCTACATCTCTGATTGGCTACAAATCATAAAATATATTTTAAAATCTTAAATACTAATCACTTCCTTAATAAACTGCCTTCAAATTACGCTACTTCCAGAGAAAAAACAAAAACAGATACATGTTATTGTTAAGGAAAACAAGATGACAGCACCTACAAAACATCTACTGATTTTTTATTTTGATCTGGAATCCTTTATTGAAAGTTCACTTTTCATGAAAAAAGCATATGTATTTGGAGTTAAGTGGTTGGTTGGTTGGTTTGTTGTTTTACGCCGCACTCAGCAAAATTCCAGCTATATGACTGCGGTCTGTAAATAATCGAGTCTGGACCAGACAATCCAGTGATTAATATCATGAGCATCGATCCACGCAATTGGGATCGATGACATGCATCAACCAAGTCAGCGAGCCTGACCACCCGATCCCGTTAGTCGCCTTTTACGACAAGCATAGTCACCCTTTACGGCAAGCATGGGTTGTTGAAGACCTATTCTACCCCGGAAGGAGTTAAGTGATTAAGGAAGACATAAAAAAGGCATATATCGATCAAAATTTGTATTTTCATTTGAATCCAATTGGAGATGTAGACATGGTTAACATGGAAGAAGTTTGCTGTAAATCCTACACCGCACATTGGCAGACTTTCTAACAGGTAACTCTGAAGCCCTCAGTATTGACATACTTGGCAAAGAAACAAGGATAAAATTGAGGAATGGATGAGGGGATGTAGGAACTGCAGCTATCTATCTGTAACGATATAAAAATATGGAGAGAAAATGGAGGGTGATCTGGCCCTTCATCTTTGCTTACATCCCACCACATCCTCCTCCGGCTTCAGCATGATCCACACATACAGCTGCCAGGTGAGCTGTGGAGCCGATTCCAGGAAACTCTCAAATAGTCGAAGAAGACATGCATCCACATCTTCATACAACATCAACCAATAGTAGTGCTTCTTTAACTTGCCCTCTGACTTCATGAACATCCAACCATTGTATATGTACTCTGAAATCCTGAAAGATTTGAAGATGCATTGTATGTCATGTTAGAAATAGAACCTTTTCAATGTTTACCGGTATCTGTTTAGCATGTTTACACAAACACATGTAGAACCTATAAGGCATACATATTCACATACATGTATTTCATTATGTAAACAAGTCATTGTATTCAACTTCAAAGTTATCAAATGTTTATACTATTTCATAAGCTCATTTCATATTTATCATGTTTATACACAGTTGAACACCATTAGACATGTAGTGTAGAAACACATCCATTTATTGGATATTGACCAAGTATTGTCTGTTTTGATTAGAATGAATGCTAAAACTGAGATCACTGACAATCTCAACAAGATCTCCTCACATTCAATACCTCTCAGAGTCAAGATCTGACAAACCTTCCATAGCACATGTGGAGGTAATGCCAGGTGAAATTTCTATTCAGCTTATCAGTGTGAAGACTTCAAAATTCATAGTATCTGCATTCCAAGTACAAACATAAACAGGCAGTCACGTATGAATAAAATATACATGATATCAAATATCAGCTCTCTTGTGCCTTCAATGTTAAGTTTGGGTTCAGCTGATGCGCCTTCTTTTGGTAGGTTCGTAAGATCATGATGTAGAGAGATTTTAGATTGAAAATCTGATTTTAATGAGATCGACCAAATTTGAGGTCATTGACAAAATTAAGCCACTGACAATTTGTAGTCCAAGTAGCATTGCTTAGAAACTCTTGAGTAATTTGAGAACTATTATCTAAACAAGGATATACCTGATCACTGGTCCAAATTGTAGAGCTGTCATGATGAACCTAAGTGCCCACTGATAGCCTGGTGTTATCTTCTCATTCACTTTTTCAAGTTTACTTGGGTCTTTGTCCCGTCTTGCTTCAGTCAATGCTTCTTTTTCTCTTTTATAGTCCAAAACATACCAGGTGAGACCGAGGCCACATGTCACAACTGACGGCCCCGCTGTGAGTACAAGTGAAACTGAACCGTAGAATATTTCCCCTTTTATGAAATATTTCACGACAAGCCAAATGTCAGTTCCAAAATCTCCAAAATATAATATGATTGACCCAAGTCCGATCAATAACTCATACAGGCCAAACTCATAATGGAATGTGTTCTTTTGTTTTGTTGGAAATTTATGATTATTGTGTAAAGGCGTTGAACTTGACGGTGTCTCCGGAACCCCAGCCCTAACCACGCCCATATCACGGGAGTCGTGTGAAATGATGATAGGTTTTGGTTTTTTGTCCTTAGTGAGGTAGTCAATAACATCTTCTTTGACTTCATTGGGTTTGTAAAAGTGATCTCTATTCGCTGTTTGTATTCTTCCATCCAAGTTGTCAGATCTTCGTCTGCTTGCTGTTTCGATTTTCCTCGATGGCCTGTTGGTGACATGATTGAGATCGTCACTTTCTTCATCCTCGTCTGAATCAGGTCCGAATAGATAGCGATAGGGTGTTACACCCCTACTCCGACTTGAAAGTGGTATTTTGGCCATGTCCAGTGACTTTTTACAGCGGTCCTACATCATATTTCATCCCATTGACTGACAGCAAGCGGAAATCTCAGCGACCGACGACCTCGACCTCTCATGAAAAAAAAGCAAGCTCCTCACAGCGATAGTACGTTCCCGGTGCTCTCTATACCGAGATTGTAACGAAGGCGTCACGCGCTGGGAAGGAGCTTGGAAAAAAAGAAACACTCACAGCTCCTGGCAGCGAGACCTCGTCACCTTGATATGATCTATTGTAGCAAGCGCTGAAGAAGAGATCGTTATAACACAAAGCTTTGTTTAGCGGTAGCGAGAACTAAGGTCCGATTTTAATGAAATTGTGTGTGTGTGTGTGTGTGTGTGTGTGTGTGTGTGTGTGTGTGTGTGTGAGAGGGAGAGAGAGAGAGAGAGAGAGAGATTATCAACGTGTCACTACTGTACATAGCCTACATTACCATGATTACGTTCAATCGCATATGTAACAATTATACAATAACATTAACATGCATCGATGAAGGTATAATAAATAGAAGTATGATCACACTCTGCACATACACTTTCTGACTCACTGAGCAGTAAAAGGTTACTGTTATCAGTATCTGACAGAAAAAACATATTTGAAAGATACCTTTTAATGGCAAAAATATGTATATCCCAATCTTAAAATTCAGAACATGTACCCATAATTTACCAACTGAAACCCAACGTTGGAATAATGTAAAGAAAGAGCATTGTGTATGTGTGGTGTGCAACTTCAGTTGCAGACGAATTTCATTATCTGCTTTGATGCAACGCACTGTCAAAACATAGACTTGTATACATTGTATTTACAAATTGCTTACCAAAATAAGTGGTCTAATTTGTGTACATTTAAGAGGTTATTGTCCAGTCAAAACACTAGAGATCTTACTCCTATCGAAATTTATTGGTGAATTATTTAAAGCAGTACGAAAACACAAAACAGAAAAGATATGATATATCCATGCATGACATACTATAGTCTTGTCACACATTAATACTTTATGTGTACATGCTTATTCTTTTGTACTCTTTTGTACCACCGCCGATGGTTTGGAGAGAATAAACTGTTCTGTTCTGTTCAGCAGAATTGGTTTCATTGGAGGAGCAGAGTACAGAGTTAACTTCCTGAATGACAGGACGCTGATTTCGGGATTGCCTGGCCTCAGGTTTACCAGTTTGACCAAATACTTTTCTTCTGGCATATCTCACTAGTTGACCATATCTCATCCGATTATACAGCTCTTTGCGGCATTAAACAGCCCAGGTGAACTCTTAACACCTCGTCCTTTGTAGAGATCGCACATTCATTAATATATAGTCACCATGTGTTAAGTCGCAAGCGGGTTAGGGACAGCTGTCTAGAGATTTAAACAGTACCCCATTCCACAAAGCTAAACGATCGTAACTCCCATACTTTAACATAGACTTGCGACAGTCGTTGCATATTTTGAATATAGTATCTGTACAGGGTTTGGCGAGGTGAAATGTGTGTGTGCGTGTGTGTGGTGTACTAGTCCGGAATAATGCCAGATGCGCAGTGCTTAACCCTGAGATACCATGCCGCACTTTAACACGGATGCCCCACTGAGACAAAGTATACTGACTCCGAGCCTTGTTTTATCCCCTTATTTCCGAGAAACAGGCAGTGTACCTTCTTATAACGTCTTTTGGTATAATGCGACCGGGGATCGAACCCCGGACCTTCCGCTCTCCGGGCGGACGCTCTACCACTAGACCACGGAGGCGGTCCAGTAGCCTTACAAACAGGGACCATATACCGACACACAACTAGAGGCCGCGGGAGCAGGGACTGGTGACAGGCACTACAGCTGGTATGCCAGTGCGCGGGGAGTCGGCGACCGTCTCCATATTCCTCCATATGGTCCAGGATGCTGCCATTTTGTATTTGTCCATCTGGAGCGTTCTACATGGGTACACAGTGATGCAAGCTGGTGCTCTGTTGGCATTTCCTTGTTTCCCAAAGCAACCAAGCTTGAAACATTCCGTTTCTGGTATATTTAGGGTGATGTAGTACGATAGTTTATCAACCATAGAATATTTGTTTAGTCTTGTTGCATAAAAAAACCCAAAGAAGTCACATAGGACAACCTTTTCCTCATTGCTATCTCAAGGGAATATTTGTGCTCTATCACCAATAGTTACATACTGAATCAAATAAAATAAAGCTTTAGAAGTACCAGCCGGTGGAACCATGAATGAGCCTTTACCGCAATGAATGGAACATTTTTTGTCACGTTGTTTGTCAATAACTCCACACTCAGCAATATTCCAGCTATATGACGACGGCCTGTAAATAATCGTATCTGGACAAGACAGACCGGTGATTGATGCTACAAGCAACAAGATACCCCGTGGTGGTATACGATGACATGCAGTCAGCAGAGTCACCAAACCGGCCACCACAGATTCATTAAGTCACTTCTTGCGAAAAGCATTTTGTTTTAACCGGGAATTCCCACAGGTGAATGCCAATCGGGAATTCCCACAGGTGAATGCCATAATAAAAGCGACCCGTGACGAACCGGGGTAGCGTAGATCTTCAGCAACCAATGCTTGCGGTAAAAGGCGACTATGCTGGTCGAAGGATGCGACTAACGGGATCGGGTGGTCACACTCGCTGACTTGGTTGATGCATGTCATCGATGCCAACTGCGATTTTCTGGTCCAGACTCGATTAATTACAGACCGTGTGTGGGGTGTGTGCGCAGATTTGTTTAGAATATTAGAAATACACAGATTAAACAAGATAACTTTGCGTTTTTTAAGCCATTACTTTGTCAATACATGCATGTTACAGTCTGTATATATGTCACCAAATGAGAGATAGAGAGAGACGCAAGCACGCACGCACGCACGCAAGCACACACGCACGCATGCAAGCACGCACGCACACACGTCCAGATCCGGGTATGATCAATGTGTTTGTTGCCTCGCTGTGTTGACCACAGTCGTTGTAGCTCCCTGCAGGTGGTGCCCTTGAGTCCAATCTGTGTTTACGTACACGTATGACGAGGAAGGATAATCCTCAGGTATAATCCTCTAAGACTGGCTTCTTGGACACCTGTGTTGGCCATTATGCTATTAAAGCCTGAATACAATACCGTTACGCAGGCGTTGCTGTGTACTTTCATGAATGATATATATCGACAGTGGGTGTATTTAAACTTTGCATTGTCAAAACTTTCAAACCAACATGGCTGCCAAACAGATTATCCACATTTGCGATTTATCCACATGGAGCCCAAATCAATGGTGATTGGCATGCAATATCAGTGTTACATGTCAAAATTGACAAGCCAATACGAATATTAACAATGCATTATTCCTTTACTTGACTGAGTCATCTTTGAGTCATGTCATGTGGCTGAATATATTGTAAGAGTAGTGCCGAAGATTGTAAGTGGCAGTTAATTCTAAGGCTCGTAAAATGTCAGGAGCTGACGTGACAAGATTAATTTGTAGTGTGTGACAACCAATAACCACTGTCCAAAAGAGCTAATGCCTCGCTACACTGGAACTTTGTTAATGTTTTCCGCATAGCGATCTACTATGAGCCTGTCTCCGTCCCTCACGACAGACACACCAGCTTCACGGCAATGGGTCAACGTTTCAACGCAGCGAAAGGCTGTATAGGCAAAGGGATTGGATACCGCAAGACTGATACCCTGCCCTTCGCCTCCTGTCGGCGAGGAGAAAGGACATGCTGAAAGCTAACCCTTTGCGTAAACACCAGGTGTCCATCTCTGACTCTCAGACATCCATTCATGTTTTATTCACCAGCTTTATTGCCTTTTACCCCCAAAGGAATCTGTCTTGGTCGGGAGAATAGCTCACATACATGATTGCACACTGATTCTTTCACTGCACATTGAAGATTGTACATTGAATAAATGTTGCTTAATGATGAAATTAGCAATATGTCAGCTATACGGTCTAGCTAGATCTACGACACTGCCTTGCTTTTGGGTATCCTTGTGTCCTGTCATTGGGTCTGTCGACCATTTTTGATGCTGCAATATGGATGACTTTTGTATAACATAACACTCACTCACACCAACTCGAACATTTAACTATGCTACAGCTAATTATTTGCCTTAAAGGGTAATTGCTTGCCAATGGCACATTACAGGATCCGACCTATTGTATGTAGCAAAGATCGCGAGCTGGTAAATTTTGCTTTTGATCCTTTTAGCAACATTCCAGCAATATCTCGACAGGAGACACATATAATTGGCTTAACATGCAAAACCCAATCAATTAGCCATCAATGTTAACCATTAGCTAAACCAATCGTCTTCAGGTTGACATATATACATACCTCCCTTTCCCAGGACAAACATATACATCTGCCACACATACTGAGGACAAGACTCTCCGAAAACCTCTAGTAGTTGTAGGCGCGCACGTTTCAAATTTGTATCCAGAAACCTCTTCACGAGCGGATTCGACATGGATTTGCAGCCCAGTGTAATAAGTTCCCAACTCCCGGAGGGAGTAGGAAAACAGTGTAAGTAAGACCTTTTGGCTAAATTCATAGATTTAAATACATGTCACTTAGATATGTTTGTTTTGATTTTCAAACGCCCCAGTCAGCAATATTGCTGCGTTACGACGGCCATTCGTAAATTATCGAGTTTGGTGTGAACAATCAATTGATTGACCTCATGAGCATCGATCCATGACATTTGGATACAATGGCATGCTATTAAAGGGCAAGTTCACACGGAAATGAACCTATTTTTCTTGTACTTTTTCCACATTAAAAGTGTTAACCTAGAGGTGTCAAAGACAAAAATATAAAAATATCACAATTAATTTAATTTAACATATTTTTCGCATTAAAACGATTTATATTTTTCACATTTACCAAGTGTTCTATTTCCACAACAAAAACACCATGGCTTATGCCCCTTGCAATATGACGTCATTGGTGCCAATTGATAAACATTATGACGTCATCATGCTTTGTTAGAGCCGCTTCACGTGGTGTAGGTACAGTTGTGTGATTCTTGCGTCTCAGATGCCAGCTAGCATAGTGTTATGCTGAGTCACCACTGCGCCGGAGTGTGTCGTGGGCCATGTTGTTTTACCGCAATCTGGTACTTGATATCTTTTGCGTTGAGAATAGACAGGGACCCAGTTGAATTGGCACCAATTACGTCATAATCTAAGGGGGATAACTCAGGCCTGTTTAGCTCGAAAAACGAAGGCCTCATAACGGCATATCATTTTCACACTATTGTGAGCTTCCTACTTTCACTGTGAAAAAATGAGTGTATATTTTCAAACACAGATACTAACTAATTCTAAAATTGCGTTTTGTTTAGAAAAAGAAAGAAAGTAACTTTTGCGTGTACACTTCCCCTTTAAGAAGAAACTTCATGAAGAATGAAACCTTCTACATGGATTCTACACACGCTGACGACTAATGTACTCAGATTCCTGTGGTGGCCAGATGGGTAGTTAGAAGTGTAACTGCAAAAGTACCAGATGAAGGGGCATTAAATGTAATATCCAGTTATGTATCACTGTTTAATAATCTTATACCAACTTTGACTGGAGTAGGTCCGATAGTTTTTCAGATATTGTAGTAAACATCGGTACCTTAAATTACCTTCCAGACTTATACATTAAGCTATGTTTACAAATACCAACAGTGGGGTCCCAGAGAGGATGCCTGGCTAGATTTGAGATGAGGACTTTATCCCTTGATGCTGTGTGATATGTAGGGAGGTGTTGAGACAGAGAAGGAAAGGCTGTACGACACCAGAGAAGTAGGTTGTATATGTGATCTAGATATCTAAAATAAACAGTGTAAGAGACAAAGACCTTCTTTTTTTAACCTGTTCTATATTTCTCTGACTTGTTCTATTCTGTGTTGATCGGATATAGTTGGAAATGCATATTGAGGATCTTTACTTGTACTGATTGCCCTGGCTATATTGGATCGTTTCATGTTTTTGTTAAACATTGTTCTTTCGGATCTCTGTTGTGTTTCATATTATGAGTTAGTGATTGTGGTTTTACGCCGCTTTTGGCAATATTCCAGCAATATCACGGCGGGGGACACCAGAAATGGGCTTCACACATTGTACCCATGTCGGGAATCGAACCCGGGTCTCCGGCGTGATGAGCGAACGCTTTAACCACTAGACCGCCCCGTTTCATATTATGGATCCTTGTACATGAAAGAGTTGTAATTAACTGACATTAACAGTCCTTTGTACTGAGTTGACACTGTTTCACATTTTCAGCTTTATCAGTCTGTCAGTTTTACCATCAATGAGACATGATTGGCCATACGTTTTTTTGTTATATAACTCCACACTCAGCAATAGTCCAGGTATATGATGACGGCCTGTAAATAATCGAATCTGGACCAGACAAACCAGTGACATTTCAGCTTTATCAGTCTATCAGTGGATTTTGTACCGAGCCTGTATTGCATATTGAGAAATTTCACGAGATTGGTATAAGTGCAAAGGTTAATATTAAGTAAACGTTTTAATGAATTGTAAACACCGAATTTTTAAACACAAATCCAGTTTTCAAAGTTAAAAATAGTCTGTCAAAACCATTTAGATATTTTGTCTTTAAAAACGGACTGTGGCTGGGGTGTTTATTAACCTTATATTTATTTGTGCATGCAGTGGGCACTGATGATATCCTGTATTAGCATTAAAGGGAATTGTTGACATTATCAAAACAGCCAAATGGAAAGAAAATTGCCAATCTCCATCAAATATTATCTTAGGCATTTCTTTGGTTGGAATCAACTTATACGGATAAACAATATCTCTGTGAGACAATTCTTTTCATTCAAATATTTGTTTGGCGGTAGTCCGTACACAAGGGTCCGGTTACTGGTTGTTTTCTAATTTCCGGATTTTTCACAAGGGAGTAATACGTAAGTTCAGATGTGTTTGGTTTAATGCTGCGTGCTAAGCTTGAATATGTACGTCGATGTTTAATAAACTATATTTTTTTTAAAATACTGTCCCACTTTCGGTGCAAAGCAAGTCCAATTTAATGACATTTCGGTGTTAACAATATCAGTAGTATTTCAAATAATCAGGTCTCCCTCATAGCGCGAAATGGCATCTGTACACACGTTGTTTTGATGTAAGAATTATCTCTAAAGGTGAAGGTTAGATAGTTTGTTCTACGACTCTGATAACATTTACAAACAAGACATTTTTAGGTTGTTTTCCATTCAGTTAATGCTAACGATATAATTGATTCTGATAGAAAATTAACAGCATTTAATTTGATGACTAGTGTCCCAACGACACAGCATCGTTGATTCTTGAGAGACTGTAACACTACTAACAGTAATTGTGCTGGTGATCGCTAACCGACTTGTGTGCGCTCTGCAAAATACCATTTTACAGTTTCGAAGCTATGTTTTTTCACGCGACTCTGTAACATGTTTAAGATCCTTTATTTAAGTGAACTCATTTTGGCTTGAATATATTTATGAACGCAATATTCAGCTGACACGTTTGTTGATATCGAATAAAAAAAGATTATGTAAATACCTCGAACCATATTGCAGTAAATTCAATATTCATGTTTTTCAATATTCTATGCATACACTTTCTTGACTTTTTTTCTCTATTAGATTTTGTTTGTGCGTTGTGGCACAGAAGAATTACTTTAATGCATCAACTTATAAACATACATTATGAAACACCAAGTATCTAATTGTCTATGAAAAATACTTTAAATAATTAAATAGATCACTTATTATATGATCATGTGTGATCAAGATATCAGTGGTTATGCTCTGTGTAATTAAGGAGTCAAATATGGCTCAGCAGTCGAAGGTGCTGCAACTTGATGTGCAGGGTTGTGTTTTTGTCATGCGCTTCTCATTGTGATTATGATCCTTGGTTTCTCCGAACATAAACATGCTTGTTGGTCAGTCTTTGACATTGGGATTTATCATCCAAAACTGACTTCCACAGGAGATATCGTTTGGATGAGATAAAGCATATCATTTGGGAGATATTGTGACAATGAATTTGTGGCGTCCATTGTGACGTCATAAGTTATCATGTTTGTTTGTTGTTTAATGCCACACTCAGCAATATTCCAGCTATATGACAGCGGTCTGTAAATAATCGAGTCTGGACCAGACAAGCCAGTGATTGACATCATGAGCATCGATCCACACAATCGGGATATGATGACATGCATCAACCAAGTTAGTGAGCCTGACTACCTGATCTCGTTAGTCGCCTCTTACATGATATCTCAATCAAATGACATCACTAATCTCCCTGCCACTGAAGGTGTTCAGTAGTATGTATTATATTCAAGACACTGCTAATTACTGTTTACATGTGAAAAGTTGGAAGAATGAGTTTGGATGATAAATAGAATCTTACCCATGTGTCTTTTAGTGCCAAATATATCAACTTGTGTTGTTCCTCCCAAATTAACATGATTACGGACACAATATGAATTGATGCTGTCCCTGTGTAGATCCAGGTTAGAATTGGTTTTCAGCAACCCATACTTGTTATAAGAGGTGACTAAAGGGATCGGGTGCTCGGTCTCACTGACTTGGTTGATGCATGTCATCGTATTCCAATTGTGTAGATCGATGCTCATGATGCCAATCACTGGATTGTCTGATCCAGACTCGATTATTAACAGAGCACCATCATATACCTTGAGTGTTGCTGAGTGTGGCGTTAAACAAACCCAGTGGCGTCTCAGCCACAACGATATGGAGTTAGTTCTGTTGATAACTATTGATATGACAGGGATCACAAAATTTGCTATGAGAAATTTTGCATCACTGGCAGGACTGTTTACCACAGGCACAGTCTCTCCACTCCAATATGAGGTCAACCTATTTCCAAGAAATCGTTAAATGTATGTTATGTACAGTGTTTCCAATCTGCAGCCATGTCCAATGTAGAGTTGATGGCATTATTAAAAAAAGGTTTTGGAGCAGATTGTTATGTTAGCTCTATAGCTACTATGTTAGGTCTACATTGAACACATTGTTGAAAACACATTATTTTGATCCCCTGACTGATTTGATTTGAGCGCAGAATGGTTGCAATTTCAGAATGTGTTATCGATGGAGCCACCTTGCTGAGGTGAAGATCCTGCAGACTGGGCTGGGGGCACCTGACGAGGTACAGACAGTCCGATGCCAGTGTACCAGGGCCTTCATAAGGTGCAGCCTATAAACACTAATGACTTGTGATGACTTCCTTTGTTTGTTGTTTAATGCCAAACTTTGCAATACTCCAGCTATATCATGGCGGCTGTGAATAATCAAGCCAGGACCAGACAATCCAGTGATCTATATTGTGAGCAGCGTTCAACCATCAGCTGATCAGGGTGTGATGACATACTATCAACCAAGTCACCAAGCATGACTACCCGATCCATTAGGTCACTTCTAACAACTAGCTTAGGTTGCTGGGGACCTCTTCTAACCAGGAATCCCCACAGGGAATGATGACATAAAGAAGTGTTGTGATGTATCCTAGTTACATCCGATCATCAATAGTGGTGGGACCATACACCAATGCATCGGTGGATCGCGATATTTGACTTCCCGATCACTTCCCGAATGATAAGTTGCTAATTGAGACTTATTTGCAGGGCTTTTCTAACTGGTGTTTGTATCGTTATTCAGTCAGTCAGACTTCAGGCTTGTGTCTCAAACCATGAGTTGTCTGGAATGTTAACAGCAGATTAAAACTATACTTACTCCCGTCCTTGAAGCCAAATTCTATCTCTGTTTGATTTATATATTTTATATGTGTTATTCTTTTATTTACAATTTGGGGCGGTCGGGTAGCCTTGTGGTTAAAGCGTTCGCTCGTCACGCCGAAGACCCGAGTTTGATTCCCGACATGGGTACAATGTGTGAAGCCCATTTCTGGTGTCCCCTGCCGTGATATTGCTGGAATATTGCTAAAAGCGGCGTAAAACCATACTCACTCACTCATTTATTTACAATTTAGTGATTCCAGGCTGTATAAGCAAGGTCTGTGGACAGAGTCAGTCTCAGAAACAGATGAAGATGATGAGGATGGGGACAGTGTTATGGACAGACCATCAGAACCTGCTGCAGGTGTTGATTCAACAGATCTGGCCTCCACCCACACAGAGAAGCATGACATCGACACTGTTTCAGATGAGTTCGAGAAGATGGCTACAACTGAGGAGAGGATAAGTCAAGAATTAATAAATGAGGAGGAACAGGATGGCCTGGAGGAAGAGTGTCCTTACGATAATGAGGAGCTGTTGATGATGCAGCAGATGGGCTTACCTGCCAGTTTTGGATCACAGAAATCAAAAAAGAAAGCCCAGGTGACTACAATCACTGATTCAAATATCCATTGTTCTTTGCTATATTGAGATCAGAACATGTAATGAAGAATTTACAATCTACATGCTTTGCCAAGTTCACAAACATTAAAGAAGTTGTGAATTGAGGTTTAGCATCTGATTTAAGATGTTGAAAGGTATACATGGTATAGGGGCTGTGGGGTAGCCTTGTGGTTAAGCCTTCACTCATCATGCTGAATACCTGGGTTAGATTCTCAACATAACATGTGAACATGGGTACTATGTGTGGAGCCCATTTCTGGTGTGTCATTTTATGATATTGCTGGAATATTGCTAAAACTACACTCATTCACTTCAATGTATGGCATGCCCAACAAATGAGGGATTATCTGTATGTCTAGTTTGCAATGAAAATGCCCCTAAGTTTAGTGTGGTGGGCACGAGTGGCACAGTCATCTAAGGCACAGCAATTAGCTGTGCAGATTATCGCCCCAATCATGTTTTTAGTTTTTCAGCACAATACCTGTGCTCATGAATTTCACCAAAGTGGTAAACGTAGGAGAATTTCGTCACTTTGGGCTTTTCTCCCACATTAAGCTGACACGCTGATGTAACTGTAATGCTGTTCAAAGCAGCGTTAGACCCAGCTCAGTCACTCATGAGTGTGAAACTGTGTCACTTTCAGCTTTCCACCCACAGTAGTCTGGCACACACAGTACTTATTTGGGTTGTGACAGCCTCTGTGGTCTAGTGGGAGAGCAGAAGCTCATGGCAGCTTGGAATCAGTATACAGTTTCTGTGTAGGGTATACATGTTAAACTGCGACAGGATATTTCTCTGGGCTAGCACTATAAAACCGGCATTAGTCAGTACTAGTGCCAACAGCCACACATAAACATGCGTGCACTTCGCTATATAAGTGCAATAATCTTGAACACAGCGTTAACCCCAATATAAGCTCACCTCTGATGTTTCTGTAATACGTTTTCAGACAGTGGTATATACAACTGAAAAAACATCTTCCAAAAAAAAACGAAAAAAGGCAAAGAAATCAAAACACAAACAATCAAAAGATGATCCACCAGTCGATACAGAGCAGTTTACACAAGAAATCAACTCCAGTGATGGAACCTTTGCTCAACAAATGATGTCTGATACGAATTTCGATTCCGCCTGCACTGACGCGGAACCAACACAGGACCTGGAGACAGCATGGCAGGAGTTCTGGACAAAGTATGGCGAGATGGTCGTGTGGCAGGGCTGGGTGTCGAAGTATCCGGACCATGTTGACTACGACAAGCTCACTGTGATGCCCTCAGTGGTGGAGGTGGAGGTAGGAGCTGGGGACGAACTGGTGCTGGACGAGGAGGGCAGCTGGACTGTCAGGGCAAGGGGGGAGGGGCAGGGGGATAGGGATGCAGAAGGGGAGGGGCAGGAGGGTATAGATGCAGGACAGAAGGGGCAGGGGTATATAGATGCAGTGGGAAAGGGGGACATCGATGCAGAAAGGAAGGGGGAGGGACAGGGGGACCCAGATGCTGTAGGGGACATGGTGGGGAAGGGGTTAGGATCTGATGGTGAGAGCATGCAGCATGATAAAAATGGTGAAGGACATAATTCGGGAGGTTTAGAGGTAAAACGTTTTCCAGAACCTCTTGTGACAGATGTTACGAAGCCTGAATGTTCTGATGGCAGGGTTACTGGGACTAAATTACATTCTGTTGATGATGGTGCTGATGTGTGTGGGAAAGCTGGTGAAAGAATAGTAGCAAATAGTCATCTGAGACATTCAACTATGCCCTCAGGTGGTGTGGATTGTGTTGTTTCCGGGGAAAGTTCTGAAACAGTGGAGCAAGAGCAGGATAATATTTCTCAGAGGATTAGTGATAATTTTGTGTTGTTCAACCAGGCTATTGAAAGCACAATGAAATGTCGTAGTGAACAACATCAGGCTGAAAAACTAACAGTAGATGAAGCTGGTGCACTCTCAGGAAGTGCTGAAGTTGTTCAGATGATGCATAGTTATGCATGTCCCCAACCGATCGCAGAGCCTGACACAGGTGAAACTGACCAATCAGAGGTCAGGAAGAAAGATGGTGGGGAGGAAGTCATGGAGGCGGAGGTGAACAGTGACAAAATGTGGACTGATCTATGGGAGGAACATTACACTGAGATCTATTGGTATCACTACAACAGGTTTGCCTCATGGTTCACAGAGAGTCTAGAGAACTACCATGCACTGAAAGACAAAGCTAATTCTGAAAACGTCACAATAGCAGAAGGTGTCATACAAGTCAACCCTGATTCATCAGTGGAAGTTATGCAATCAGAATCTTCTGAACCTTTGTGTCCCTGTCCTGACGGTAGTCTAGAAGCTGAAGGAGGTGCTGTCATTGTTAATGATGAGGTAGATGAAGATCAGACTGGTTGTGATGAAAGCAACTCTTTGATTTCCTGTAAGGCTGGCTGTGATGCCGAGCAGTATGGTGATCAGCAGCAGGATTTGCCATGTCCAAAACTTGAAGAGACAAGTTTAAGTCTTGAAGATGACAAAGGTGTTGCAAGTACACCTAATGGTGATAGTGGCCTCTTGTTGCCTCCTCCATATCCTGTTGGGCAGGACAGACCTGATGAAGATGCTGAGCATCAGTCGATGCCTCCTCCACATCCTATTGGGCAGGACAGACCTGATGGAGATGTTGAGCATCAGTTGATGCCTCCTCCACATGCTATTGGGCAGGTCAGACCTGATGGAGATGTTGAGCATCAGTTGATGCCTCCTCCACATGCTATTGGGCAGGTCAGACCTGATGGAGATGCTGATGCTGAACCATGTGATGGGAGTGGGGCTGGAAAGAGAAGGCGCAAAACGAGTGGTTCAAAGAACAGCCAATCAAGTCATTGTCAAGGTATGGATACATTATTTGTCATGCTCTTTATTTTAGTATGAGATAATTTTATTAAAAGTAAAAAGTGTGTTTAGGAACATTATCAGTTTGGCTATGTTTTGCAGTATTTTACCGAAGTGAAATTTATCTATTCTCTGTGAAATTGATTCAGAGATGCAAATAAGTTAATACATTAATACCAATCCAAAGATCTTTGTCTTTCGGGAATTGATTGTTCACCCCTGTGAAGATTCGGGTTAGAATTTGGTCCTCAGCGAACAGGAATGGGTGGTCAGGCTGCCTGACTTGATTGATGCATGTCATCAATGCTCATGATGTCAATCTCTGGATTGTCTAGTCCAAATATATCAACTTGTGTTGTTCCTTCCAAATGAGGGCGCTTGGGTAGCCTAGTGGTTAAAGCATTCGCTTGTCACGCCGAAGACCCGGGTTCGATTCCCGACATGGATACAATGTGTGAAGCCCATTTCTGGTGTCCCCCGCCATGATATTGCTGGAATATTGCTCAAAGCGGCATAAAACCATACTCACTCACTACTCCCAAATCAACATGAATACTGACACAATATGAATTGATACTGTAGAAAAAGAAATTAAAACCAAACTCACTCCTTCAGAAAATACACACTGCACTGCTTTCACAACATTTGTCCCCCAGAAGATCCAGGTTAGAATTGGTTTTCAGCAACATATGCTTGTCGTAATAGGCAACTAACGGGATCAGGTGTTTGGTCTCGCTGACTTGTTTGATGCATGTCATTGTATCCCAGTTGTGTAGATTGATGCTCATGATGTCAATCACTTGACTGTCTGGTCCAGATTTGATTATTTACACACTGTCCTCAAAAAGCTAGAATATTGCTGAGTGTGGCATTAAGCAACAAACAAACATTGTCAAGGAAACAACTTATGTCAGTGTGTATATGATTTCAGCTTCTGTATTCTTTATAGACTGTTTTCCAAGGCTATTTATGAAGAAGCAGTCTCGAAACAGTTTGTATATAGAATACATAATTTGAAATCCATATATCTTGTGTCGCTTTGAAAATACTACCTTTTGGTACTTGGCATCTTTAGGCACAGGGGAGAGAACTTCCACCGATAAGCCGTCCCAGTCGGAAGATGATGGTGAAGAACCTCCCGAGGAGATTCCTAACAAACTTCCCAGAGGGTGAGATAATGATGTCAACATTAATTTATATTTTTAAGATTTTGAATAAATGAATAATGAAATAATGCAAAAAATGTTTGATTTTTATGTTAGCTATGTTCATGATGTTGTTCTGAAAGTTTACAAGTTTTAAATTGTTACTGAAGTAACTTGTTGATGTATGTTCATTCTTCATTCCAGTCATGAAATAGATGGCAGTCCAAAGAAAAAGAAGACAGTTCGGGAAAGCCTGGAGTCTTTTGGTTACAAACTGTCTGCTGAGGAGAGGTATGTTTTTCTTCTCGCTGTTCTAAACATAGATTTATCTTCTGCAATGCAAATAATCACACTGGTTCTTGTCAGATGGTTAATGGACTGAGAGTACTTACTGTAAACATTGAGAATATGATATGCTCTTGTTTTTAATTATTACATTTGTGACTTTTAACTGAATGAAAGACACTGCAATTCGCTGTGCAGGGTTGTGTCCCTTGGTCAGTGGCGTCAAACCCAACTCAACTCGACCCGTGAAGATTCCGGGGTAGAATAGGTCTTCAGCAACCCATGCTTGCCGTAAAAGGTGACTATGCTTGTCGTAAAAGGTGACTAACGGGATCGGGTGGTCAGGCTCGCTGACTTGGTTGATGCATGTCATCAATCCCAATTGCGTGGATTGATGCTCATGACATTAATCACTGTATTGTCTGGTCCAGACTCAATTATTTATAGACCGCCGTCATATAGCTGGAATATTGCTGAGTGCTGTGTTAAACAACAAACCAACAACCAACCAACCAACCAAACCCAACTTACTCACTTAACTGAATGAAGTAAGTTTTTATTGTTTTTCACAATGTAATGCAGTTTTTACTTATCATTCAGGTTCGTGAACAATGTTCTTGTACAGGTACACATTTGCTGTTAGATATGAGTGCCAATTTGTATATTTCAGTGATTCTCTGCCTAGAATCAAGGATGGACATGTAACATATAAGGAAGCTAAGGTTTTGAGTCAGACTCGAAACCTAAATCTTGGTCAGAAGCCTGTCCACATCAAGTTTGATGATGATGGCAAACAAGGTGAGAGCAAAGCTCTGAGGAAAGTCAAGTCCTTCCTGCACAAACGCTTGAAAGCCTCACAGGAAACAGATGAGGTTCTGGAGGAGCATCTGGTTCTGGAGGAGCATCTGGTTCCGGCAGCCAGTGCTGAAGACAAGGGTGTGGACTTGGAGGATTCCGATTCTGAGCAGCAGAAAGATGCATCTGTTGCTTTGAAGGAAGAGAAACAGATTGATGATGTTGAAGCTGCTTCTAAGGTAACGGACACTTGGGATAAGGTTGTATCAAAATCAAAGTCTAAGAAGAAGAAAAAGAAGAAGCAGAAGCGTCCCAGTATTCCCATGCCTGAAGATGTTGCATCAGATGAGGAGCTGAAGAAATACTGGTTTCAGAGATACAGGCTGTTCTCCAAGTTCGATGAGGGCATTAAGCTGGATAGAGGTGGGTTTGACAGTCAAGGTGGTGCTATGCAGGTTCTTACCACAGCAAGGGCGGTGGGGTAGCCTAGTGGTTAAAGTGTTCACTCGTCACGACGAAGGCCCGGGTTTGACTCCCAACATGGGTACAATATATGAAGCCAATTTCTGGTGTCCTCCGCCGTGATATTTCCGAATAATGCTTAAAGCATTACTCTCTCTCTCTCTCTCTCTCGCTCTCTCTCACTCACTCACTCACTCACTCACTCACTCACTCACTCACTCACTCACTCACTCACTCACTCACTCATTCACTCACTCACAAAGTTAAGGAATTGTTCATTCTGTATCAATCTCATTAAAATAAGATCTCTTAATCCGAAACAACACCCATCTGCATCGCCATAGGAAGTTTCATCAGGAGAACCATCAACAAATTTTGACCGCTCAGTCTAAATGAAGGATGCGCGAGTTCTTGAGCCAATCAGATGTCTGCTTTGTCAAATGATTCGGCTTCATTTCTTTGCCTTGATTCAGAAATTTTGATTTGTATTCGTTTGATGGTACTGCCTTTTGACTGTGGATGCCATTGCGCTCAGAAACGACAGGGTGTGAAAGAATTCCCCAAAAATATGATGGTACCACCTTATTTATCTGCGTTCAGAAGTTGTCTTTTTAGTTAGTTTTTGAGATACAGAAATCAGCTTCTCAGGTGTGAATGCTTTACACTGAGAATTTAGAAGCCACAATGTTTCATTGTTTGATCAGAAAACTCAACCCCCTAGGGATGTGTCGTCAGAACATCCCACAGAGAGATGTCGGACTAAACAGGGTAAAGATCGGAGTTTAAATTAGATTGGGTTCTGTATACTTTTCAGTTTGATGGCAATTGGTTTGGTCATGTGAGCAAAGATAATAATAATAATTTAGTGAATTCTGAGTAATATTTGAGAAAATCGAATTGTTGTTTCAGCATGTCTGTTTACATTTAGCTTGAGAGAATTCCCTTGAGAGACTAATTTGAAGTTACGCTTAATGTGCTTTTGACAAAGAATTTATGGTTGAAGAATTCTTGGTCAAGAAATTTCATTCACAAATTTCTTTGCCAATTCTTGTTATGTCATGAGAACTTTTCCATATGTTGAGAGAATGTTTGGTAAATGTGAAGATGTCAGGTATACCCAGTGCCAACCAGTGTTTCCTGCTTCCAGAGAGCTGGTTCTCCGTGACGCCAGAGAAGATTGCAGAACACATTGCAGAGAGATGCCAGAGTGACACCATCGTAGACGCCTTCTGCGGTGCCGGGGGGAACGCCATACAGTTTGCCTTCTTCTGTGAGAGGGGTATGTTACTCGTGGCTTCTTACCAGCACATTAGGTAGTGTTACATGACATGGCCTTGTTAGCCATTACCAACAATGTTTAAAAGTAGTGGTGGAAAAAACACATGAAGTCTTTAACATGTGTTTAGTACAAGTTTATATTTATAAAGAATCAGCACCCCAAACCTTGATCAGGAATATGGACTACTTCAGTCCCACAACATAAATGGACTGCCTTCTAAATTTACCAATTTTATTGCCCTTTTGAAAAGTCATAAGCCTTTTCCCAAACAGATGGGTAACTAATCTGTTCATATCATACCTAGAACGAATCAAAGGCCATACCAAAAAGTATAAGCCTATCATTTTTCCCTGTACACATTTTGCCTGTAAAATTTCTATGTACAATTTCAGAAATAGTACCCTGTACGTCCAATGTGTCTTTATGTTCCAGTAATCGCTGTTGATATAGACCCGGTGAAGTTGGAGCTAGCCCGCCACAATGCTGGGGTGTATGGTGTTTCAGACAGGATCGAGTTCATCCTGGGGGACTACCTCCTCGTGGCCCCCACCCTCAAGGCTGACGTGGTCTTCCTGTCCCCGCCCTGGGGAGGGCCAGATTACCTGGGGGCAGAGGTGTATGACCTCGAGACCATGATAGAACTCAAGACATATCCTTTCCAATGTTATTATTCATGTCTTCACACACTCTATGTTGGCTGTATGTACTGTTGATATGTGATACAAAACTTCCCCTTGAATATAAAACTTCTTTTGGATACGAAACTTGGTTTGGGAATGACTTTACGGGAGCCATTTTGATTTGCTCTAGGCCGGCAGTTTGTGACAACGCGTGCGAGTGCATGAAGTGTAATATATGTTTGCTGGTGAAGACAAGTGTGTATCAACATCCTGTCTTAACATGTACTGGTGTATCAGTATGGAGGGGACAGTGTCAGTTACGGGGATAATTTCCTTGCTAATTTTCAGTAGTTTGGGTTTTAAATTTATATTCATTCTCAAGATTTGGTATGATTTCGTTGTCGATCATCTCCAAGTTATTTTTAATTCACTGTGCACTGTAATATGATCTGTGTTACTATTTTCCTTAACTAGTCTACTTCCAGGATATTTGAAGTGACGAGGAAAATCACCGAGAACATAGCGTTTTTTGTGCCAAGAAATGCCAATGTTGAACAGGTAGGTCAAGTCTCCCCCTCGTCGCTTGGATTCACAGTAGTTCATGATTGTTGAGCTATACTTCTATAGTTTAGTTCTTTTGAGAATTTGTAGATATTTTGAACAAATCAGCTTGGAGATGTCAAAATGAATGTCAAAATATTTCACATTCCCCCTTTTTATCCAGAATTCTAATCCAGTTCATAGTGTGGCTGTATAGTTGCTAACTAGGACATAGAACTGTTGACCGTGTTCATGTTTATGGTCATAAAAACTATTAACCATTCCTTTGGTACAATAAAGAAAGGGCTGTTGGGTAGCCTAGTGGTTAATGCCATAGCTTGTCACGCCGAAGACCGGGGTTTGATTCCCGACATGGGTACAATGTGTGAAGCCCATTTCTGGTGTCCCCCGCTGTGATTTTGCTGGAATATTGCTAATAGCAGCGTAAAACCAAACTTACTCACTCACTACAATAAAGAGATATGTTACATTTATGTATGGACAGTAAAACCCTGTTTGTGACAAAACCATGATGTAAGTGATACTTTTAGGAATGTCAGATAAGGAGGACATTACTCCAGAAATAAATTGAAATGGATTCCCTGGCATTTGATTGGCTAACCAAGCAAAATTTAAAATTATAAAAGTAGGACACGCCAACTATCAGACTACTGTTTCCTGATTGGCTAATAATACTGAGGGCATGGCTTGTGTTGCTGACAATCTCATTAAAATCAGATCTTAGTTCTCACTATCGCTAAACAAAGATCTGAGGACGTCCCATTACGGGTCACGTCAGAACGACCTTTCATCCAACCAATCAGAGCGTCGCTTACCAGATTATGAAAGTGACAGTCGAAATGTGTTTTCTAATCATGCAACCACGAAATATTTAACACGGGGTATTCCGAACGACAGTTATGGGTTTTATGATTATATCCATTACAATCTAGGCCATCTATAAGCCATTCAAGAATGTTATTCTTATCAGTTTTAATTTTTTTTAACGGGAATATGTCAAAATATGTTTCGATGTGTAGTTGCCAATTTGAAACTAGTGTCGTTAAGCTCGAGAAAGCTGACTTCTGATTGGCTAATGTCGATTTCTTGTCAGTCATTTCATTGGTTAGTCAAAATTAGCGAAAGGTTGTTCTGACGTGACCCGTAATGGGATGTCCTCAGATCTTTGTGTAGCGGTAGCGAGAACTAATATCTGATTTTAATGAGATTGGTGTTGCTGAATAATGCCATGGATTTCCTTAAGTTGTCTTTTTTGTTATACTTAAATAAGCAGTCTGTGAAGTTATTATAGTTGACTAATCTATTTTATAAGAACTGACTTATGTTTATGCCTCCATGGTGCAAAATAATATTGAAGACAATTCTTAAATACCTGTGGTTTATTAACCTGGAAATGTTTAATTGCTATAATTTCACCATGAACAGTACATTTGCATGAGCAGAGTTTCACTGTGAGTTGACCCCCCGTTAAGATCTCGGGTTAGGATTGGTCTTCAGCAACCCATGCTTGTCATAAGCAGCGACTAATAGGATCGGTGATCAGGCTCGCTGACTTGGTTGATAGATGTCATCGTATCACAATTGCATTGATCGATGCTCGTGTCAATTGTCTGGTCCAGACGTGATTATTTACAGACCACCGTCTTATAGCTGGAATATTGCTGCATGCAGCATTAAACAACAAACAAACAAACAAACAAACAAACAAACCTCACTGAATTATGTGACTTCTATTCAACTGTCTTGATGACTTGTTCCAGCTGACGGCACTCGCAGGTCCGGGAAAGTGTGTCGAGATTGAACAAAACATCCTCAACACTAAGCTCAAGACCATCACTGCCTACTATGGGGAGCTCATTCTAGACGGAGAAGATTCATGACAGATGCTGACTGACCGACATGTGAAACTTTTGAAAAATCTACTTCTGACAATTAATATTTCCTAAAGTAATAGTCTCCATTGTGGTGGAGGGTGGTGGGGTAGCCTCGTGGTTGAAGTGCACAGTTGTAATGCTGGAGCCACTATATGTGAGGCCTATGATAGGTGATACTGGCATGGGTTTCTCTTTCCATGTTAGTTTGGTAATATTCAAGTCATGGTGGTGAGGTTACGACATTCATGACCATCCCTGCTTCACAGGGGGACATGTATATGAAAGGGACAGAGTCGTGACCTGAGGCGATTGTCACAGCTCATCGACTTCTCAAACAATCATGGGAGAATTCATTGTAGCTGTGATCATTCAGAGATTGAGATGTCACGACCACTGACCAGGACCATCAAACAGGACCATCAACCAGGAACATAGTCCAGGAACATCGTCCAGGAACATAGTCCAGGAACATCGTCCAGGAACATCGTCCAGGAACATCGTCCAGGAACATCGTCCAGGAACATCGTCCAGGATGAAAATGCAACACACAAATTAACAGCTACATGGAAAACATCAAGCAACCATATTTCAGAAAAATGCTTCCTTTTAAGCATACATAGTTGTTGGGATGAATTGAATATGAATTCTGATTTTGGAACTGGACTTTTATTTCACTATTCGAAATCATATTCCAAAGGCTGATGAAGTCATTCATTTTTATACTGAGGAATGGAGGCGCCCTTTCAGTCGCCCCAAGTCTGTGTCAAACGTTGCATCTCGTATGATCTTGGGGTCAATTCACAGATTCTCCCTCCTGGGCCCAGTTGCACAAAGCAATCTTAGCACAACGACTATTGTAAGCTTATGTTAAAGTATGGGAGTTACATTCATCTTAGCGCTAAGATTGCTGTGTGCAAGTGGGCCCCGAGTCCAGATGTAGAGCCTCTCAGGGCCTCAGATCTCCATGTGAATGGGATATCTCACTTATCTGGACCCATGTGTGTATTGGGTGGCTCAGCCCGGACCGCAAAACCCACACATGCATTGGCTGGGCCATACTGGGAAGAAAGTTGTGCTGTCTTTTACACAGTTTATTTAAAAACGGCCTCAAGAGCTACATGTGTATCGGATGGCTTGTATCATCCAGATCTCCGTGTGGTAGATTTTTACTGATTTTCTTATCTCATATTTCACACAGAATTGATGTACATTGTGTATAATTTTTATCACGTTTATACTTTTTCTAGCTTAATGGCAAAGAACCATCAAATTTTTATGGTCAACACACTTGATGAACATTCCACATGGTAATGTTGACCATGCAGGGGGTGGGGAAAAAAGAGTCGGATATCAAGTAACAGCAACACATAACTGTATGAATCATTTTATTATCATTAAATGTACATTATGTGTAGGATTTGTTCTGTCAATGTCTTGTACACATATAGCACCATGTATTTAACTGGTCTTAAACAGTACAGTGCTTGACCATGACATTTCCAGACATTGCACTCCTGCTTTGACTCTTGTCTAAAGTGCCTGCCTTCTGGCACAGAAACTCATGAGGCCAGTCAAATCTACGTTCTAATTCTTTGGACAGGGTGAAACCAAAAATATGTTTGACTGAAAATGCCCTTTTATCAGCACTTGTATTTCTAGATGTCTTTTTCTTATGAAATTAATCGCAATTCAACCTTCAAGACATTTTATTTATTTTATTTATTTTACCACCTGCCTTTGACATGGTTTGGCAAGTAGTAGACCAAGAAATTAAGTTTGGTCAGGTCAGAAAATACTAAAAAGTTGCATTGCAGGATAGAAAGTAGCCAGGACATTTTGCTAGCCTGCATAGTGATGATATAGGTGTTTCTTTAAGGTGATAGGCAACAAGCTCGCAGGGAATATTTTGACACCACACTGCAACTGGTAGACTACCGTTAGTTTCTATTACTGTTGCCAAGTTTAAAAAGAAATATAGCTGGAGAGAGGATAGGCTGATGTCATATTTTGAGAAATGATTAGGTCTTCCTGATTACTTCTCAGCGGACATATTCATACATCCATTACTGTGAGTGAGTTTGGTTTAACGCCGCTTTTAAAAGTATTCCAGTTATATCACGGCGTGTCAGCTTAATGTGTGAGGAAAGCCCGAAGTGATGCAGGTCTCAGACCCAGGAGCAGGGGTATGGTGCTGACAAACCTAGAAACATAATCGGGGCAAACCGGGATTCGATGCCACAATCATAGGTTTCTGGCGTGTCCAAGGGGCGCAACTCTGCACAGCTAATCGCGGTGACTTGGCCACCCGAGCCCCCCGTACATACATTACTGTGAAAGACCTGACATAACAACAGGAAGAACATCTTCTGGCAATGTCCTGACAGAGTTGACCCGCCAACCAGTAGTTTGAGACAGTTTTCACTTCTCTGACATGTCTTTCTTACAGATAACAGAGTCAAATTGTCAATGCCAGATAGACATACCACTAAGATCTGCTGGGAATTCAAAAGCCATCCAAGTTGTGAAAAATGTAGGTACCTGACGTGACGATGAACATGAGTGAGTGAGTGAGTTTGGTTTTACACCGCTTTTAGCAATATTCCAGCAATATCACGGCGGGGGACACCAGAAATGGGCTTCACACATTGTACCCATGTCGGGAATCGAACCCGGGTCCTCGGCGTGACGAGCGAACGCTGTAACCACTAGGCTACCCGACCGCCCCCCGATGAACATGAAGAATACACAGTCATACCCACATACACAGGGAAGCACTGGTTACAATTCAAGTTCCGGCAAATACTTCTCTCCCAACAACAATATGAAGGAGTAATTCCAAGACAAGTGTCTCAGTACTGTGCACACATTGTTCCCACCAGCTTTTTTCGCTTCACACCAAGGCCACACTTATGGTTTAAAGATACTCCTAGTGACGAAAAAAAAAAAAAAGGTAATGGTGTTTTTGTCTGAATTTTACTTAAGAACATGTGAAGGTTGGTCAAACTACATTTAATGTAAATTTACTGTATCTTTTTGATCAAATAAATCAACTGACCCACACAATAGACTGTTCATTGGGAAAAAAAATGTAACAAAATTATATCTTTACCTAAGCTTATTTGAAAAACACCAACAATGTGACCTTTTTTTTTCAATTCTATCCATTACCTATAAATGGCTTCTCACACAAAAATAACAGTTTAACACCAATATTTATGATGCAAGACCTCTGATACTGGATATTGAGGACAGATGCTTCTGAGATTAATTTATCCAGAACCAAGGGAGGTAACCAGTCACAGTCTGTAACATGATATGAATACAAAATATACTTGTTACATGGTAATGGCAACACAAGTTGAGCCAGTATAGACATGTTATAGTATACATGGATATACTGAAAATACACAAAATTGCATGCAAACTTTACCATAAACTTAAGACCTCTAGCAATATCCATGCAACAGCAACTAAACTTATTATTCATGCACCCTCTTAAATAATGACACACACTGCTTTCCTTTGATAATAGTCAAAGTAAACCATACAAGGCATCTAACAAACATTGATTTTTTTCTGAAATATAAGAATACATTAATGTTCAAGTTACAAAATTATTTTAGTTGCCCTCCAAATTGAAACTTTTTAGCAGATTAAACCTGAAGACATCAGATTTCAACTCAATCAGGGGACATAACTGTTAAAAGGTTCTCAACTTTTCTTTAAAAAGAGCAATGCCCATTTAACTCAGGTCTGCGGATTCAGGTAAAAAGCAAATAGAGAGAAAAACATTTTCTAAAATTAGAAACTCAAATTCAGGATATTCCATATATATAAACTAAATGTATTTGGCTGCTCCATTTAAGCATATGTTCTCACAGATTTTTTCATATTTCGACTGCACAAAACCCAGAAATGATTATTGAGTTATGTGACTTGTGCCTCATGGTGAGCTAACTACATGATTCTAAAATCATGAAATTTCGGAATGTTTTAATAGTAAGCAAGTGAAAGGTCACCGTTTGATTGGCATTGAAGAATTGGATGTAGATCCCTACACTTGGAGCTTGATGATAAGAACTTACATCAAAATGTCACTACATGCAATAAGCCAGAAGTTGTTATCTTATAAAGCTTTTCGTTTCCTTAAGTGAAAGGTCAGTTTACACTTGCTCAGTCCCAGATGCCTTTCCCCAACATGAGCCCAGTACCACTCACCGCTAGGCTACTACACATATCCCAAGACACACGAATACCATCCATCCACACGACTACACTGACAATTGCATACCTGTATATATGGAGGCACTGATGGAGGGGGAGGTGCGAGCATCAGTCAATATCGGATTTCACACCAATGTTATGTTCAGAAATACCAATAAAACTACTCCTTTGTTAACCAATCCTAACACTGGTTACCATGGTTACAGGAATATATTCCTTTATTAACCAATGCTAACACAGGAATATATTCCTTTATTAACCAATGCTAACACAGGAATGTATTCATTAATTAACCAATGCTTACATTGATAACAGAAATACATTCCCTTATTAACCAATGCTAACCAATGCTAACACTGATAACAGGAATACATTCCCTTATTAACCAATGGTAACACCGATAACAGGAATACATTCCCTTATTAACCAATGCTAACATTGATAACAGGAATACATTCCCTTATTAACCAATGCTAACACTGATAACAGGAATACATTCCCTTATTAACCAATGCTAACACTGATAACAGGAATACAATCCCTCATTAACCAATGGTAACACTGATAACAGGAATACATTCCCTTATTAACCAATGCTAACATTGATAACCAGGAATACAATCCCTTATTAACCAATGCTTACATTGATAACAGGAATACATTCCCTTATTAACCAATGCTAACACTGATAACAGGAATACATTCCCTTATTGACCAATGCTAACACTGATAACATGAATACAATCCCTTATTAACCAATGGTAACACTGATAACAGGAATACATTCCCTTATTAACCAATGCTAACATTGATAACCAGGAATACATTCCCTTATTAACCAATGCTTACATTGATAACAGGAATACATTCCCTTATTAACCAATGCTAACACTGATAACAGGAATACATTCCCTTATTAACCAATGCTAACACTGATAACAGGAATACATTCCCTTATTAACCAATGCTTACATTGATAACAGGAATACATTCCCTTATTAACCAATGGTAACACTGATAACAGGAATACATTCCCTTATTAACCAATGCTTACATTGATAACAGGAATACATTCCCTTATTAACCAATGGTAACACTGATAACAGGAATACATTCCCTTATTAACCAATGGTAACACTGATAACAGGAATACATTCCCTTATTAACCAATGCTAACACTGATGACAGGAATACATTCCCTTATTAACCAATGGTAACACTGATAACAGGAATACATTCCCTTATTAACCAATGCTAACATTGATAACCAGGAATACATTCCCTTATTAACCAATGCTAACACTGATAACAGGAATACATTCCCTTATTAACCAATGCTAACACTGATAACAGGAATACATTCCCTTATTAACCAATGCTAACACTGATAACAGGAATACATTCCCTTATTAACCAATGCTAACACTGATAACAAAACAAAAAACCTATGCTATGTTATGAATGAGCCAATAAATGTATTGGTTAGACTTTCATGAGTGTCTTACTTAGGAAGAATGACAGTTGAAAGGGTTGACATGATAAACAGTTAAAGTGATTTTACCAGTGCATTCATTCATTAAACACATTTTAAATGAGCGAAATGTTCTGTGCATACATTAAGGAATATACTATGCATTTTTATTGCACTTGATTGGGAACTGTCTCAAAAGATTTCTCATTTTCTAAATCTCACTAGTGAATCAGGACTCTGTGTTCATGAGGTTTTCCCGCTAATCATGCAAAATGTTGCCATTTGTACATTTCAGCAAAAATAATGCACACCAAACAAAAGTAACAACCTGACGTCATTAAAATCAGATCTTAGTTCTCGCTGCCACAAAACAAAGATCTGAGGACATCCCATTACGGGTCACGTCAGACAGACCTTTCGCGAACTCTGACCGACGATTGGAATTACTGACAAGAAGTCGACATCAAAACATATTTTGACAAATTCTCGCTTAAAAATTTGAAAAATTTGAAACCTGAACAAAAGAACATTCTCGAATGGCTAAAATATGGTCTAGATTGTATAGATTCAGTCTTTAAGCCCGTAACTATCGTTCGGAATACTCTGTTTTAAAGTTTTCGAGGCTGCATGATGAGAAATCACATTCCTACTGTCACTTTCATGATCTGGTAAGCAACGGTCTGATTGGTCGGATGAAAGGTCGTTCTGACATGGGATGTCCTCAGATCTTTGTTTAGCGGCAGCAAGAACTATGATCTGATTTTAATGAGATTGAGAACAAACATAATTCATGGATTATTTCCAAACTATCAAAAACACTTAATAACATGAATAAAAAACTGAAAACTTTTGAGACAGGTTCCGAGAATGAAAGACGTGTGTAACAGTCAAGTTGCCACTGTTAAGCACAGCTCATTTGGAAGTTAATCGTATGATGGTTGTGGAAGGACCACACAGATTCACACAGGGACTCGACATATCCACTACAATATCCACAGTCCCTATTCTTGCTTAATGTAACATCAACATTTCATCAACAGCTCCACTTTGGACTCAATTTGCTCAAACACATACCAATTCATAAGCATATCAAACAATACACTGAACCATTTCCTTGCCAGGCTGACCAGTGCAAATCCTGACTGTCACATCCACAGAACTGTTCGGATGTGATGCATGAAGTTCATTGATTAATCAACACAAATAAATAGATCATAAAATTATATACAACAAATGTATACAACAAATTATAATTTACACGTTGAAGATCCTGTCACAGCAAATACCATAACAACAAACAGTGGTATGAGTTACAATCTGTACCGTGAAATTTCTTTTAAAACGTGGAGGTAACCACGGTAACTTAATCAAATGTTTGTATTATAATCAGAATAATATTACAAGATTATGTCTTCCATGGAGTCTTAACATTACATATATGAGAAATTATGCATAATGTACCTATAAACTCAAAACTGGTTTATCTCGCATGTTACCATGGCTACTGTAAAATTGAATTGACTAATGTATCACCTGATAAAAGTGATAATAAAACTCAGTAAAACAGTTTAATTCTTCACCTGGAATGACTCAAAATAAGGACAAGGTTAGACACAGACATTAGTTTGTTAATTCAAGACTAGTGAAAATCTAGAGGGACTAGTTTTCTCCCCAAATCTAGTTATTTTAAGTAAACCACTAGTCCAAAATAAGCTGTGGCCTAATCGGATAATACAATGGTGTCTACCCCTTGAAGGTACATGTTTATGTATTATTTCAATAAATATGTGTTTTTTCACTGATAGTAACATATCTTCAGGTCAGTAATAATAATAAGACTTCTCGAAAGATCTACTGATCATGCTTGAATAGATTACTTAAGAAAGCATTCATAATCCTAACATTAGCTGTTCAGACCACTGTAAAATCATCCAATGAACATTGTGAATCTTCAACACCAACATCAAAGATGATATTGGTCCTTGAGTCACTTTCTCAGAATTTTCTTTTTCCCATTCTTCTTTCAGACTCCAAACTGGTCACAACACCACAGATTTGCACAGAGAGACGTTTCCAAGGTTACATTCCATTGCCCGGAGCAATTATTTTGGTTATGGTTGGGTGGCCAATGCTACCCCTTTTATAAGCCACAATATATAGTAGCATCAGTAACACACAGCATACCAATAACGGAAAGTTCCTCCACAGCCTACTAGCTTGCAGCAGCAGCAGTAACTATAGCAATATCTAGCTCTTTCTTCCATCATAGGCAGCATTGGTAACCATAGCAACTGGCTCTTCTTTCTTTCTACATTTGCATCCGCAGTAACCATAGCGATATCTAGACATTCTTCCTTACATCTGCAGCATCAGTAACCATAGTGATATCAAGCTATCTGTGCACTGTATTCAGCATCAGTTACCATGGAAATGGGTGCATATCCAAATCATTGATTTGTCTTCTGCATAGTCAGCATCAGTAACCATCACAATGACTTTGACCTCATATCATGATTGGTTACCATAGCTACAACTGACACTATATTTAGCATCAGTAATACTTGACCTGCTGAAAACCTCTCAGTACGGTAATTCCTGGGGCTGATGTCCTATTATAACACAGTGACTGAAATACATTGGCTCTTCTCTGCTCACAGGCCTTCCAGTTTGGAAGACAGTATCCTCCGCTGATAGGTCTGTGGTCATGCCGGACAGATGAGAAGAAGTCTATTGTGTGCCCCATCCTTGTCAACTGTATCCAGAGTCTGATAGCACAGTCTAGATGCTACTTGATTCCTGTTGGTGTCAATTTTGTGGATTTGTCATGTTTCTCTGGCTGCAGTCGAGGCTCTGGCAGCTTCAGCTCAAACCCTGATCCTGAAAAAGATAATTTATACAGTCAAGTCTCGTTAATCCGACACAAATGATGGGAACCGATTGAATTAGTGCTATTTAGACCTGTTAATACGACAGTCTAGCACTCCGACTCCGACACACCTAATTTGCATTGAATTACCAAAATCCCTCATTAATCAGTCTCGTTAATCGGACACAGTGATCAGCGTACTCCGTGGCCATCTGCCTGCGAGTACCCAGCCCGTGTTTTGATGCGAGACGAGTCGGCGAATAACTGCATATTACAACGGCTGCAGATTCAACAAGATTCCGCTAACAATGTAACATAACGATATAAATACTTCATTTTCCATTTTTATATTACGTTTTGGAATGGTTATCTATCGTGTAGCTGTCTGATTTTTTATCAGGAACGTAGATACTACTTAATTTTGTTTATCCGACATACTCGTTAATCCGACATAATCATATGCAACCAACCATGTCGGATTAATGGGACTTGACTGAAATTGACTACAACCATGATTACACACACACAGATTTGTAAATGACAAATTTTCATCCCTAAATTGGTTTTAGAATACAGAAAAAGTCAAGAAAACATTCTCCCAAAAGACACACTTTTAACATGATGAAGGTAAAATAATACTTTTTTATTCTTTGTTATTCTTAGATACAAACAATCTCAATAACAAACCTTTCTGGTCCAGATTCTTCAAATCAGTCAGTTCATGCTTAAGCCTCAACCGGAGAATATGCTGCATCAAGTCTTTCCTGAAACATATTCATCTTATTGATCATCCTCTTCATCACAGTGATGTTTTATACCATAGTCAGACAATATTTCAGTTATCAGCCATCAGCAACGACCCACATCATTGAGGTTCCGATGGTTCAGTCAGTCAACACTACAGTTGGTACTGGGTGTCAATTTGATTTAACATAGGCAAAGGGGTTTTGAGAAGCAAGGCACTGGGGACTGAAATTGTCACTAATTAATTCACCAGAATTAATTTTCATATGTAGGTCCAATTGAAGGGGTGCAGGGATGGGTGGGGGAGGGATGGAGGGGTACACCCCTACCCACTATAAATGTTTTGAAGCATGCTAAATATGTAAATGTATAAGATAATACATAACTAAACCCTTTTCCATGTTTTATGATGTTTTCAACAAAAACTCACTAAAAAATGAACCATCATAAAAGAAAATTGTATCCATGCTTGAGTATTCTGATGTGGTTACCATGGTTACTTAGTAGGTAAATATGTAAATGTATAAGATAATACATAACTAAACCCTTTTCCATGTTTTATGATGTTTTCAACAAAAACTCACTAAAAAATGAACCATCATAAAAGAAAATTGTATCCATGCTTGAGTATTCTGATGTGGTTACCATGGTTACTTAGTAGGTAAATATGTAAATGTATAAGATAATACATAACTAAACCCTTTTCCATGTTTTATGATGTTTTCAACAAAAACTCACTAAAAAATGAACCATCATAAAAGAAAATTGTATCCATGCTTGAGTATTCTGATGTGGTTACCATGGTTACTTAGTAGGTAAATATGTAAATGTATAAGATAATACATAACTAAACCCTTTTCCATGTTTTATGATGTTTTCAACAAAAACTCACTAAAAATGAACCATCATAAAAGAAAATTGTATCCATGCTTGAGTATTCTGATGTGGTTACCATGGTTACTTAGTAGGTAAATATGTAAATGTATAAGATAATACATAACTAAACCCTTTTCCATGTTTTATGATGTTTTCAACAAAAACTCACTAAAAAATGAACCATCATAAAAGAAAATTGTATCCATGCTTGAGTATTCTGATGTGGTTACCATGGTTACTTAGTAGGTAAATATGTAAATGTATAAGATAATACATAACTAAACCCTTTTCCATGTTTTATGATGTTTTCAACAAAAACTCACTAAAAATGAACCATCATAAAAGAAAATTGTATCCATGCTTGAGTATTCTGATGTGGTTACCATGGTTACTTAGTAGGTAAATATGTAAATGTATAAGATAATACATAACTAAACCCTTTTCCATGTTTTATGATGTTTTCAACAAAAACTCACTAAAAATGAACCATCATAAAAGAAAATTGTATCCATGCTTGAGTATTCTGATGTGGTTACTTAGTAGGTGCCCAAGTACAAACCTGTGGTCATTACTCGTAATTCCGATCTTCTCTAGTTTTATCTCATTCATCCTGATCAGTGTCCTCCCTGCAAGACAAGACAGAACATGAAGATGTCACATACCAAGCCACATGAGTGTACAATGTACCGTATTCGACTTAATTAGCGTCCCGTTCTAATAAGCGATAGATACTATGATTGTGGGTTTTTTTCTGAGAAAAAATATTTGAAATCTTGATTAAGATTGTGGTTATTTGTTTGGTTTTTTAATTTTCAGAATTCGTCTCTAATTTGGAGGTTCCATTTCAGACATTGATATACTCTTCCAAAAAAAAGGGTGGTGATCATGAACTATAAATTTTAATACTAAGTACCGTTTTTAGACGTAATAAGGGCCCTGCTCTTATAAGCGCCCACAGCGATATTTGCTCATATATTGGCTAGTGAACAATCCCAACAATTAGCACCAATTCCGACTGATCAATGTACACAAGACTGAGAGCACCCTGGATGCTTATTATGTCAAATATGATAGTACTTGACATGAAAATTCACGACTATTGATTAAATACAGTTACAAGGTCACAGTGCCACGCCATTTGTTGTTGAGTCAAATTCTGGGTGAAATGAAATAATTATCATAATCATGCTAGACAATTGTGTGAATTACCTCCCCTTGACCACAGAACTTTTCTTTTGTATTTCAATAAAGAACTGAGATTGTACTTCAACAGGTTCAATTAAGAACATGAGATGTCTTACTCAAATACGATACCTCACATCAGGATCATATCGAAGTAAAAGATTGGATTTGTGTGGTACTGGAACTCAATCCACACTAATCAATGATAATTGAAGAAAAGACCATAATAATGATGATGATGATGATGATAATAATAATAATGTATTTTTTAGAGGGAGTATGGTTTTACAACGCTTTAAGCAATATTCCAGCAATATCACAGTGGGGGCACCAGAAATAGGGGGACTGGAACCTCATCCTTCAGCATGACGAGCAAAATGCTCTAACCACTAGACTACCTGACAGCCGAGTAATTTTAGAAAATAAATTGGAGTCTGAAGGTTGGTGCATGCATCAATACCCATCCAATCTCACCTGTCACGTCATGCTCACTGAAGAGTTCCCCATACAGATCAAAACACTGCCCTCCATGTTTCCGCAGCCACTTGTTGACATCGGCACTGGACCAGAAATACAGGGGCTTGGCCTTCCCCTTCACCACCTTCTTGCCCCCCGTCCCATTGGACTCCTTCAGCTTCATCTGCAACATGCAACAACAGCAACTACAGTGGTTTAGTTGACCATGTTTACCTGCTGTTAATTGTTAGACTTTCATTTGTCATGTTTGAGACAGAACATGTTTTTGTCAGTGTTTCAAGACATGAGCGGTAGAAACTAACATTTTTATAATTATAGCATATAGCAAATCCCTTAAAAGTGGTAAATTTCTACAAGTCCTTAACTGTTGGGCAGTATGGCAAGGACTACAGGACTAGTGCCAATTTCTAATGCTGAGACATGAACATAACAAGGAGCCAAATGTATAAAGTCTGGTCAATCAAGCTCATAATTTGTATTTCATGGATTCATGCATTGTCCTCACTACTAATATTACACACTGAGGGTGCGAGGTATTACCGGTAAATTGAGGTTCATTATTTCCACAATACATATCCGAATATCATTTTTTAATGCTCAGTATTTCGGCTGATTCAAAGAGTATTTTTTATCATGTTTTTAACGTAATACATTTACCACATACATGGAGCGTGCATCCGGAACATACATACATGCATATATAAACATTGTGTTGTACCAGTATCTTGTTTTGTTCCATTTATGAACTTCAATTCATACTTTCAAATGTCTTCTAAATTCCAAATTTATACAGTATATCGTGATACCAATCATAATACGGCCAAATGCATAGTAAAATATTGCGATACACTTTAACATTGTTTAAACTTTCAATACCCATCCCTACTAGACACATGCTAGAAAGTACAACAATCAAAATTGCAATCATTTAATTGCAACATAACATAAACAAGTTAAAATCTAAGTCAAAGTGAATTCCATAGAGTATGACCAAAATGGTATATAACCTTGTTAGCCGAGTCAGGAACCTCCATTGAACCACCTGGAGATCTCTCAGGAGGTTTTATATGGTCGTCCTTTACATCAGTTTCCATCTTGCTGACCAATCTGAAAAAAAAACTGAATCTAGACCATCTGCTGAAATACATATACAATCACAGTGTGAGTTAATTCCTTATCAGAACTTAAGTGTGTAAGAAAGGTTTTGCACCATAAAACATGGTGAGGTACTAGAACCTACACAGAACAACTACAACAAAAACCTATGGGCCTGGATCAAACAAACAATATGTCAATTGTGATTACCATTAGCCTGGATCTGATACCATTACATCAAATGGAGCTCAGTAAGCTTCAACACACTTCCTCTTGTATGCCATTACCCGATCAATTAATGCTTTGTAGTTGTTACAAATGTCCAATTGGTTAACTGTCAGCGAACACATTCATAGCATGTTTTCAAGAATTTTCAGTCAGCTCCTTAAAAAATATTTGTGTTCAACTCAGTGATTTATCCAGACCCGCACGGAGCCAGATACTTGGTCCCAAGTCTGCAACAAATGTCAGTAAACATTTCCAATTTGGAAACTTAAGTTTCCCAACTCAACTCATCATGCTCATAATATTTGACTAGTGTTAGGCTTTGTTATGGTGACTTGTACATTACCATGATTACTGACAACAGGACCTGTAAAGGCATAATGGCATTTTGCTTAGTTTAATGTTATTGCATTGAATGCGGCATTAGCAGTGTTAACACACCACTGAGTTTCAGAAATATGAATCTGGACTGAATCTAATTTTTTTATTCATGAGACCCACCAACCCCACCCTATAATAAATGACCAGTCCCTAAACATAGGCTACATGTTATATAGATCTAATGTTCACTGGGACTAATGTAAAAAATAAACACGAACATGAAATATAGCTATTTTTCGAAAAATAAAAAAAAATATCTCACCATGCCTCGCACCTATGAAATGCTTATCGCCATATCGCAAACATATCTCCCTAACAGCTGATGCACGAAGTACCCCGAGATATTCCGAGTGTAGTTCCTGGCAAACGATCATCAGGAAAATTCTAAACCGTTCTACTGGCATTTGAGACCATTCCGCTAATGCAACTATTTAGCAAACATGGAAAAGTGACTCATTACTCCATTGACAAGTAATTGCAAAGTATTTATGCTTCATCGCAATATTTACCCATGAAACTTTTAAATCATCCGAATCGTCAACCTGACTGTATGTTTCCGTTAACTCATCCTAAGGTAGCCATTGCTACCAACGCCCTCCAGTGGTAACAGGTGCGCGAAGGGGAGTAACTCTAATATTTCTCCATTCATAGCTTCTTTAAGGTTTACATGCATCTTATTCATGCGCACATGGACACATATACGTGTTCGACTCTCTTAAAGCTAAATTCCACAAAAGGATTTCTATCAGTTTACCACACGAAACAATGATCTTTTTGTTATCCCATTTAAAGACTTACTCCTACGTCATGTAGTGCTTCTATCTTTAAAAAAACTAAAATCTATCACCTCTTTTCCACAAAAAGGTTCTTATGCCTAAATTAAACACCCTTTGATGTTACAAAACCGCTTGAAATATTCTTTTCTAATTATTCAGAGTACATCTTCAATATTTCAGTAATATATAATGTGTTAAAACTAGTTTTTCTAATGCAAAGAGCAAGAAAGTTTACAGTTACTTGTAGAAAAAATAATAAATACATTTAATTATATTCACAAGCGTCACATCGACGTGGCTATCCTAACTATGGTTGAGTAGAGAAGACATTATGCGCAGGGATGGTTATATTATATCTAATAATACATGTAGCTGTAGAAATATTATAATACATGGCTTTCTTGTTTCAATGTATGTGTTGTGAAGTTATGAAAACCCATGAGTACCTTCTCTCTCCCAAATGATGTTTCAGAAATTACTTCACGAAATGATAGATACTACGACTGCGTAAGGTTTTTTTCTAAGAAAAAATATTTGAAATCTTGATTAAGATTGTGGTTATTTGTTTTGTTTTTCAATTTTCAGAATTCGTCTCTAATTTGGAGGTTCCATTTCAGACATTAATATACTCTTAAAAAAAGGGTAGGGATCATGAACTATAAATTTTAATACCAAGTACCGTATTCGACGTAATAAGGGCCCTGCTCTTATAAGCGCCCACGGCGATATTTACTAATACATGTATATTGGCTAGTGAACAATCCCAAATAGCACCCCTTCCGATTGATCAATGCACACAAGACTTATTTATTCGCGTATAATACGCAATCGTGTGTTATATACACCCTTAATTATGGGCAATTAAATTCTAGAAAAATATATCTGTTGTATATAAACATTTAAGGCTATCAGCACAGACAACGAAATTTACGATCTTTCAACTCTGTTTTTTTTTCTCACCCAAATAATATTCTAATAAGAGCCCACTATTTCTAATTTTGAGAGCGCCCTGGGTGCTTATTACGTCGAATACGGTATTCGAACAAACGACAAACACCCAATCGAAGAACTTTTATGTCTGTTAAAGTTAACACCAAAACACACCCGATAGTTTGAACGTGCAACACACTTGCGTTGAGCGTCATTCCTGATTTGGATACTTTCAGGGAAGACCGATTAATCTCTGTGGACCATTCTTTCTGTCAATGTTATTTTTTCTGCTTATTATACAGTGGTTTACTTGGTTTCATTCCATGTGTGTGTATGAACTAGCGATGTGGCGTCTGCAACGCGCGGAACGCCTACGGACTAACGACATTCTGGAAACTGGCAGGTCAGCGTGCAGTGGCCAATACGTTCAATGTTCACAGTCCGTGACTAGCAGACTTTGGAACAGGTACCAACAAACCCACAATGTTGACGATCGAGCATGTAGAACCCACATTTAGTATATACATAGAGGAACGTACAATGCAGTATATGCAAAATCAGTGAAGTATTGATCTATGGAGGAACGTGAATGTAGCATATGCACAATCTGTGAAGTATTGGTCCAGGGAGGAACGTGAATGTAGTATATGCAAAATCAGTGAAGTATTGATCTATGGAGGAACGTGAATGTAGTATATGCAAAATCTGTGAAGTATTGATCTATGGAGGAACGTGAATGTAGTATATGCAAAATCAGTGAAGTATTGATCCATGGAGGAACGTACAATGTAGTATATGCACAATCTGTGAAGTATTGATCCATGGAGGAACTTGAATGTAGTATATGCACAATCTGTGAAGTATTGATCCATGGAGGAACGTGAATGTAGTATATGCACAATCTGTGAAGTATTGGTCCATGGAGGAACGTACAATGTAGTACATGCACAATCTGTGATGTATTGATCCATGGAGGAACGTGAATGTAGTATATGCACAATCTGTGATGTATTGGTCCGTGGAGGAACGTGAATGTAGTATATGCACAATCTGTGAAGTATTGATCCAGGGAGGAACGTACAATGTAGTATATGCACAACCTGTGAAGTATTGATCCATGGAGGAACGTGAATGTAGTATATGCACAATCTGTGAAGTATTGATCCAGGGAGGAACGTACAATGTAGTACATGCACAATCTGTGAAGTATTGATCCAGGGAGGAACGTGAATGTAGTACATGCACAATCTGTGAAGTATTGATCCAGGGAGGAACGTACAATGTAGTATATGCACAATCTGTGAAGTATTGATCCAGGGAGGAACGTAAATGTAGTATATGCACAATCTGTGATGTATTGATCCATGGAGGAACGTGAATGTAGTATGTGCACAATCTGTGATGTATTGGTCCGTGGAGGAACGTGAATGTAGTATATGCACAATCTGTGATGTATTGGTCCGTGGAGGAACGTGAATGTAGTATATGCACAACATGTGAAGTATTTATCCATGGAGGAACGTGAATGTAGTATATGCACAACATGTGAAGTATTGATCCAGGGAGGAACGTGAATGTAGTATATGCACAACATGTGAAGTATTGATCCATGGAGGAACGTACAATGTAGTATATGCACAACCTGTGAAGTATTGATCCATGGAGGAACGTGAATGTAGTACATGCACAATCTGTGAAGTATTGATCCAGGGAGGAACGTAAATGTAGTATATGCACAACCTGTGAAGTATTGATCCAGGGAGGAACGTACAATGTAGTACATGCACAATCTGTGAAGTATTGATCCAGGGAGGAACGTACAATGTAGTATATGCACAACCTGTGAAGTATTGATCCATGGAGGAACGTGAATGTAGTACATGCACAATCTGTGATGTATTGATCCATGGAGGAACGTGAATGTAGTATATGCACAACATGTGAAGTATTGGTCCAGGGAGGAACGTACAATGTAGCATATGCACAATCTGTGAAGTATTGGTCCAGGGAGGAACGTAAATGTAGTATATGCACAATCTGTGAAGTATTGATCCATGGAGGAACGTGAATGTAGTATATGCACAATCTGTGAAGTATTGATCCATGGAGGAACGTGAATGTAGTATATGCACAATCTGTGAAGTATTGATCCATGGAGGAACGTGAATGTAGTATATGCACAATCTGTGAAGTATTGATCCAGGGAGGAACGTGAATGTAGTATATGCACAACCTGTGAAGTATTGATCCATGGAGGAACGTGAATGTAGTATATGCACAACCTGTGAAGTATTGATCCATGGAGGAACGTGAATGTAGTATATGCACAATCTGTGAAGTATTTATCCAGGGAGGAACGTGAATGTAGTACATGCACAATCGGTGAAGTATTGGTCCAGGGAGGAACGTGAATGTAGTATATGCAAAATCAGTGAAGTATTGATCTATGGAGGAACGTGAATGTAGTATATGCACAATCTGTGAAGTATTGATCCATGGAGGAACGTGAATGTAGTATATGCACAACATGTGAAGTATTGATCCAGGGAGGAACGTACAATGTAGTATATGCACAATCTGTGAAGTATTGATCCATGGAGGAACGTGAATGTAGTATATGCACAATCTGTGAAGTATTGGTCCGTGGAGGAACGTGAATGTAGTATATGCACAACCTGTGAAGTATTGATCCATGGTGGA